GGATCCTTTTGTTTATGCCTTGGTGCAGGTCTTCCATTATCTGTTCGTATTGTTCTTTTTGCACATCATGGTTCATCGCTTACTGGTAAGAAATATTGCTTTCTATAATGCTGCTTTGATACAACAACCTGACCTGAAGTTACTTTGTTCTCTGTATCATATACTGAGTTATTGCACTGTGTCTATTACATTAATTTTAATTTTATGGCTTTTGTGATTGGTGAGCATTTAATAAATTTAGTGTCTCACAATGTGTTTATACTTAGAGAGAAGGAAAACTGAAACATTTTGTCAAAATTAAAAGTAGCACGTTTCTGTCATATTATTTTAAAAGTTATTAATGAATTCCAGTACTGAATGATAAATGACAAAACACATGCAGTGTAACATTTTGAAATTTAAAAACTGAAAGCTGGAATTGTTGCCAAGTTAACTGCTCGCTAATACTTAAAAAACCGACTGCTTTCAACATTTTTGTAAGGTTTTTAACAGGCTGTTCTGCTTATATATATTTATATATATACATGCATGGTACAGTACATTGTATCTAACCATACATTTTTTATGTTCAATGAGAAAGCTTAAGGGGAACAGATTTATCTCTGACTTGGTGTGTTGTGCACCAAAAATCATTGGTATCATTTATCGATTAAAGACTTTTTTGCTCCTTTTATTTCCACAGACTGCTGTTGACTTGTGAATGCATTGTGTTCTTCTTTTTGTTGCTGCTCTGGGGAATGAAATGTTTGCATTTCGGCTTTCCCTTCATTTATGTGCAATACCTTAATGAACAATAATGTTTTTGTTTCTTTTGTCATTTTGACATTTGAGCTCTACAGCATTAGATCTATAAATATATTTGAATACTTATGTCACCTGTTAATATTAATACATGAATTGCTTGCTATATATTCATTATTATTGTCTTTGGATGTATATTTATATATACAGCAGACTGATCCTAGACTTTCAAAGATTTTTGCTCTTTGAATCCATACATGTAAGGCGCGCTTTAATTCACCAAGCCTGCTATATATGTCAGGGATTTAGAAATAATATGTTAGAGACATCCATAATTTGATTCAACTGCGATGACAAGAAACAGGAGGAATATTGAAGAAAGATAAGGGAAGTAACTGTGACAGTATAATAGGTAAAAGATAAAGCACTGCCATCATGAAAAGTACCCGGCATCGATAAAAGGATAGGAAGGATAGAAGAATGGATAGTGAGTGTTCATTATTTGGTGTCAAAGCTTGAGAAAGGAGGAGAATGATGTTGATGAGCTTCAGATTTACGTCCGATCATGTTTTAAAAAAATTGTTCTTGCATCCGATGGCAATCGTGATAATGTAACCAACACTGGTCAGAGCACACCAAGAACCCCTCTTGTGTAGGCAGTTCCCGGTCCAAACCTTCATGTTTCAAACAACCACAAGCCTACGGCATAAGTGCACGCAAACACACAAACATAATTCTGTCCCCGTGGTTTTATTCACCCCGCATAATTTCGCAAAACTTGATCATTTTTTGCATAATTTCTTATTATTTTCCTTTATCATTCTTTATTAAAATGTTAAAATTAATAGAATTGCACCATTTCACTTTTTTGGGCTCAGTTTGCATAATTTCAGATTTTTTTTTACTTAAAACTGCGGGGACAGATAATTCTCCCACAGTACAGCCCAGTGTAGCGCCACACTGTCTGTCTTTGACCATACCTTTAACTAGCACCCAGCACCTACCTTCACATGATTAGATTGAAGGAAGGTCTAGCAATTTTCTCATCTCAATACCACCAGCAGTTGAGTGTGTGGGGGCGAGCATGGTGAACTCGTGTAACCTGATGCTCTTTATGATGATGGGCACGTTGTTTTGCTTTGTGCCCGCAGAGCGATTTGTCTTCAAGACAGCTGTGAGGAAAAATTTGATCTGGTTCTTATTGATTGGCCGTTAGACATACCCATACACGGATGTTTGCGAAAACAGTGTTGCCAATGCAAAGAAAACACAGCAGTTCAGTGAGGGAGTGGAAAATTGTACGAAAGATTCCTGGTTTCGAGTTTTCCGTGTTTGTGTTGTCTGTGCTCGACTGTATCAAGTATAGGGGAAAAAAAGTTCAACTTGCTTTTGAGGAGGGAATTGTTGCTTTTCACTTAATTTGAAGTTTCGTTATCCGGCTCATTTCCAGTGTTACTCCTTCCTTTGGTTTGTGTCCATTGTGTTGATGATGTGATGCTTTGGGGTTGTTGTTATTATTGTCACCAGTACGTTAACATTATTAGAGCAGTTACTGTAATTATCATTGTCATTATTATCATTATTAATATTATCATCATCATTATTATTATTTTTATTAATTTATATCATATTTTATTATATTTTTATTATTGCTATCATTTACTGTGTCTTCTGCACTTCACATCGGCATTGTCTAGCCTATGGTGATTAGTGTTCGTCTATGCACCGTCATGTTTGACTGAGGCCTTAACTTTGTCCTGTTTTATCGATTGACAATACAACTCTTTTGGGTAAAATGGTATATAATATTATATATAAACATATTGTATATTATATAGGTGGCTCTGCATGTTGAAATTATTGGGATTGTTTTTGTGTTGTAGTCTTTATGATTATTATTGTTAATATGGCGTAAGTGACCAAGTGGTTAGGCAATCGGACTCGCAACATTAAGATCATGGGTTTCTATCCCATCAGGGACCCGATGTTGTGTCCTTGGGGAAAGGCACTTTATGTGTTTCCCATGAAGTCGAGAATGTTTTGGAGTCATGTTCTAGTGTTACCCGGGATGATAATGGTTGTAAAGTGCATAGAGAATGCTGTAGAGAGTGGTTATGCGTTATATTAATGCAATTATTTTTATTATTGTTATTATAATCTGTGTATTATTGTGATCACAATATTGTATTATGTTGGCTATTATGGTCGAAGTTCTGAGAAATTGCTCCAGTAGGTCTCATGAAACATTTCTGTGATTTTTGGATACTCCTTTGCATAATCATTAACCATTATTTTATATATATTTGTTCTGTTGGTGGAAATTTTATTTGTGTACTTTTTATGCCGGAAATTAGTTTGACGGTTCACTTTGTTGTCATTTAAAATAAGAGACCAATACACTTTTTCTGTTACTAAGCAGGTGGTTGGAGGGCTGGCGAAACTATACTATGAGGTCTGAAAAGGTTTGGGTTTTTTAAAAATATATATTCTTTTTCTTGCTTTTTCTCCACACCAAGTGATTTGTAAAGCTTGTAAGGGCTTATCTTGTCCTGAAAGTTAGGTGTAATATAGACTTTCTACTGTTTAAGTTTTCATGGGTAAATGCTGGAGGCCCTGCAATAGTGGGTTATCTGGGCTGTTTCAAATAGTTTTCATTTGATGCAATTTGAGTCTCTTGTAAAGATAATTTGGTGGGAAGGGAGGAGGGGGGGGGGCTAGGGGGCAATTATTGGGTTCCCTCTACAATTTGGTGATCTCGTAACTGTGAGGCAATCTCCTATAGCCTACATATCCACGGTTCTTGCTGCGTAACAATTTGATGTCTTTTAGAGAACAAAAAGAGAGAATACAATTTCATATGTATGTGTGGCTGTCTTTTGCCAATAGACATAACCTGCGAATTCAAGATCTGTGGAGGCTCCTACTTTTATCTTATCTTATAGCAGACTTTTTATTGTATTAATTTCATAGGGTCAGATATCTCCACCCCCCCCCCCCCCCCTTCCCAAATGCAAGTGACAGTAAATATATTACTCCTCTAATACCCCAACCCTGTTTCCCCATTACCCTTTGCTTTTAGATAAATTATATTAAAACAGGCCAAATGAATTTTGTCAGTGTCTGAAAGATCTGAAGATTTGAACAAAAAGAAGTGAGAACAGTTGTTTTTTCACATTTGAACAGGTTCGTAAACAAAGCCACGTTAGAAACATGCATTTTGACAGGTTATAGATCAAATTTCCTTCCACTTGTTGCCTCTGTATCTAAATTTAACTGCACCATGTACGTTAATCTTATGCATTCCGTGTATAATGAATTTAAAAAATATTCTATTCTGTAATAATGGGTTTAGTGGACAACTTCATGGATAAGTAAATGCTCTGTGAGTCAAGCTTAAAGATTATAGACATTTATGCACTTTTGTCTATATATATATTTATGTGAAGAAAAAATGTTTAGGGAACAATTAGTGGTTTATAATGTCCTAAAATATTTCTTCTTTTTTTTATAGTTTGAACAGTTTGACTGAGAATTTGGTTTATAATGCCCTGAAACATATATTTTTTTATTTTGAATACTTTGATTGAGAAATCTTTGTTTATTATATCCTGATACACTTCTTTTTTTCTTTTTTTTGTTGTTGTGACTTATTAGTTTAGAATGTCATATTATGTGGAACATGTAACCATAATAGTTTTACTGGTCTTTATTCGAGTCATAATTGAACAGTTTTACTGGGAGGTGTGTGGAGTTTTAATTGTCACAGGGTAACGAACACTTTGTTGTCTCAATTGGTGTCATGATAGGCAATGATCAAATCTCTATTCTTAAACTCATGTTCCTCAAGGCTTTTTTTTTTCTTTTTGGTATCTTCTCCCATTTGGTTTGGCCTTTGTAGAGATTGGTGTTAACTCCGAAGTTTGTCTCTTAGTTGACCTAAATTTGTTGCAAAAAGGTGGTAAAAGGATACCATACTGCAATGTGTAAGAAGAGTCCTGTGGTTTTAAAGATACATGAAGTAAGTACGAATATTCTTTTCTTTTGATTCTGTTTAGTCCCCGTAATCCGCATTATTGATAGTTTCTTGCATTGTATTAAGTTTACAACCAGAATAAATTGATATTCAAATACTACAAAGTTTTTCAGTGTTGTATTTGGTTGCTGTTGCTGTCTTGGATTTTCTGTGTTAGTTTGTTTTGCCTGCTCTTAAATTTAAGTATGTCACATGTACTGTTGGTGGTTGTTGGGTAATCTTGTGTGGTTTACTCCTTCTTTCGCTTCATACATCTATCGTCCTTATCTCTCCTCCTCTTTTTTTGTTTGCTTTTCTTGAAACACCTCTTATAATCTTCGGCACTTATGTGACCTAATATTTGTGTTGCAAGTGCCGTAAAATGCTTTAAAAAACGTTATTACTCTCTTCCTTTTGCCTAGTATCTCATTCTGTCTGCTGGTACACTATCTCCCAGCTCCGGTTGGCTGTGGTGAGTGGTAGTGATCCGCAGAGTTGAAGCAGCAGGCCTCCTACTCCTAGATGATCCAAGTTGTTTCGAAGTGGACATGAAACGTTCTCTCTCTCTCTCTCTCTCTCTCTCTCTCTCTCTCTCTCTCTCTCTCTCTCTCTCTCTCTCTCTCTCTCTCTCCCTCCCTCTCTCTCTCTCTCTCTCTCTCTCTCTCTCTCTCTCTCTCAGATGGTTGTGTGCAAACTCCCATTTTCAGTAGCTGAACATGAACACACTCCTGCAGCGTTCAAAGCCTGGTCTGTTACAGCGATATAACAACACAGTAACACAGACCAGTATTGGATAGGATAGGATCTTTGTAACCAACCAGGTAATTTTGCTTCATTTCAATTAATGCAAAATTATCTTTTTTTAAAGGCCGGCTCTATTTCCCTGAACGCTCAGGAAAATAAACTTGAACTCGTTTTCTCTCTCTTCTCCGAACGGTTTATTTTCTTTAGATTTGTTTGTTATTTACGAATGGAATGGCCCTCGACAAATAACGGTCAAGTTTATTTTCCCGAGCGTTCGGAGAAATAGCCCAGGCATTGTCACTTCGTTTTTTGGACTAGCCTATGACGTGCAGGTCAGCCATGGGAAGTAACTCCCAAAGTGGATTTATTTTTTTTTTACTGCTAGATCTGTAACCTGATTAAATGCGTGTACACACACACACAACACATGTGTTGAGTGTTGACTGTTGATTTTGTGAATGTGGATGGAGAGTGCTCTGAATCGAAGTAAAATTTGCTGTGTTCGTTTCAAGTTACCGATCAGGATCTCGTCTTTATTTCATAAAGTGTCACACGCATGCTGAGCGTGTTTTGTAGGTAAGTATCATTCCACGTTAGGCCACCTCTAGAATAGTGCAGCAGGCGAGTCTTTTGGCTATTCTCACCCGGTGCGCGTTCACCGTCATATAGCCTAGATCTAGATCAAGATCTAGGCCAACCAATTTTGCGTTCACCCTAAACCACAGAATTCTACACTGTGATTATAATAGAAAAATTGTAGAATTTTATGCCGTGAACAAACGTTCCATTACTACTGTTAGCCTACTAAAAGCGTACAATTTTGTCTGTGGGCTGTGGAGAGAGAGAGAGGAGTAGATCTAGCGCGAGAACTTCCATGCAAAACAAAATGGCGACCTGCGTAGTTCGGCTCGATTCAAAAAGTTAAATAGCCATAACATCTTTGTAGAAAGCGGAACGCATCGCGTGATAGGCCAGCCAAGTCTAGATTATCTTGGCCTACCATGCCTCTCACTTCTCCGATGCGGGGATGGAGAGGTCACAGTTCTGTGATGTAAGGAGCAAATGTGTGACGTATGCAAGCAGACAGAACACACCACAGGGTGTGGTGGGGTGGGGGACAACACAGCGGGCAAGTTAGCCTAGAGAACTTTCCTTCTGATGGCCAACGCCGAACTGTCAACATCGGTAACACTAGAGAAAGAAACCTGATTCGATTTTTAATCAAATAAGACCAAGAGGTCATGTTGGGGAAACGAAGTGACTATTCGGACTCGAGTCCGAATATGAAAAAATGTTATTCGGACTGATTCTTGTCCAGCATGACATCACTTCCGACTTCCGACTTCCTGTGACTCGTGAATCTGGCTTCCTGTCTTGCCTCACTGACTTGCCTCAGGCTGGGTAGAGACCGGGATCACTACGGGCAAAAAGGCGTTTTGTGCAGGAGCCGAGTTTTAATCTTATGATGAATTTGAGGCCGGCCTGAAAAGTTATAGCGCTTCTAATAAATGTTTATTTGTCAAGAGGTCATCAGAAGTAATAAAGATGGCTCGTTAGCGTGTGTCGGGGTCGGATGGGCGGCCTGCACACGTGTGGCTGTGTGCGTGTCGGGGAGGGGGTGGGGGGGGGGGCACTGTCGGTCCGGGCGTTGAACGTCGCATACGCCTCAGTCTTTTTCCCCCCGGCAACTGATCATTATTTACAATAATAAGCTAGTCTTGACGTAGATCTACGTAATGAATTGTGTGCTGGTCTATGGAATCAAAAGTTGCCGTATGCTCAGCTCTACACAGCAACACAACTTTTTCTTGGTAAACAATCGATATGACACAGGCTTGTGTATTTGAACGAATCGGTCTTTTTTTTTTTACACAGCTCATAATGCAGGTGCCAGGTGGTCTGCTAATCTTCAATTTTACCTTTTTCTACAAAAAAGAAAGTAGGAAACATGGGGGGGGGGGGGGAGGCGTATCAATGAGGCGGCGGGCATCGGATCGGCTGAAAAGGTGTGGGGGAAACTAAAAAATGGCGGAAAATTGGAAGCACTGAACGTTAGATCTATAGAACGAAGACAATTCCTTTTTCCGGACCCGAGTCCGAATAACGACGAATCATCATCAGGGACGATAGCGAAAAAATAATAAACAGAACAACAAACTCATAGATTAGGCCTACTTTTTTTTGTTTTTGTAAAGTGTTTTACGGCACTCGCAACTGCATAAGGTCATATGAGCGCGCGGGACACACCTAATATTTTCAGTTGGTAGGAAATTATGAATTTTGCCCGGGCGGCGGCCGAAGCCTACTCTTATCAATTTTAGACCACCAAGGGATCTTTAACATACGCAACTTGCACACGGGCCCTCCGAGATTTTTCGCCCTTGTCCGAGAAGGCTAGGTGTAGATCTTTCCTACCAGAAGATCAGGGGTGTGGCAGAAAGACAGCGGTAAGGGGGGCCAAGGAGTAGCAGTAGAAAGGCTGCAGAAAGAGTCAGGAGCCCAGAGGAGGGGGCAAAGGAGGTGAGGGGATGGGGGCAGAAAGTGGAAATGAAAGCAGACAACAGAACATTGCTAGAGAGCAGGAAAGGAGGTGAAAGGAGACAATTTTAGAGAAGAAAATTTTTTGGTCGCTACCCGGATTCGAACCCGGGACCTTTGAATGAGAGGCCAACACCTTAACCTCTAGGCCACGAGAGCCCCCAGGCCTACTTTATTATTTCCTTTGAATTTATTACTGGATCCCTTATAACGAGAATCCTGCTATAACGGACATTCCGTATCAGTCCCCTCCCTCTCGTTATAACAGGATTCCACTGTATTTGTTGTTCATTAAAAATATAAATTAGCTAAGATCTGGTCAAGATGATCATACATATTTGTTTCAAAAGTCTGCACAGTAATTTTTCATAACCATGTCCCAACTTGAATTCTGCAGGAGCGCTCCTTAATCATCCCATGGGATGAAACGCTTGAAGCTGGCCAAGCTATTTTACATTTAAAAAATATAGATCTACACCACTGTCAATTCCCGGGGGGGGGGGGTGAGGAGAATAGCGGGCCATAGGCTATTCTCACCCCTCTGGTCATGGGCTATTCTCACCCCCCTCAGGTGTACCACACACATCAGGCCTATAGCACAGACATACACAGAACAGCGCAGAGAATAATTTATAATTTATAAGTTCTTGTAGAAATAAGTTTCAGGTTAAGTTTATTTAATGGGCTGGGTGGGTGAAGGCCATTTCACACCATGAACAGCTAACAACACGAAATGTCAGGAGCAGAACGCATCTTATACAGGTCCTCACAATTATAGAAGAACAACTAAAGCACAAAAATGCAAACTGTAATAAACATTTTTCTGTTGGAACTTTTATCAACTGGGCATATTAAGAAGGCTATTTGATTTTTTAAAAATTAAGGCTATGGCTATGGTAATCAGTTGTTGGCCTACATGAGGAAACAAGTGTCACTCATGAGTCATTTCCCAACCACATGCAGTAAGCGACCTAGGGCGTAGGTGATTTTATCGGCCTGTGAGAGGTCAGGGGTGAGTCCTCGCCTCATGCCCACACCGGGGTGGGGGTGAGAATAACGGGTCATGAGCTATTCTCACCAGGGGTGAGAATATAGGTGGCCTTCATATTGAATTTTTATGAAAGTAGTCATATAATTTTAAGGAAATTCTTGGCTTTTACCATTCCTGTACAGCCAAGAAAAATGTCCCACTGGGGCAATAATTTTTAAAGTATCATCCTTATTTCTTGTCTTTCCATTCATAACTTCACTTTCAAGTTTTGAAAGAAGCAGCCCTTAATTCTTTCTTCAGAACTTGTGAATAAAGTAATGACGGCAAGAGGTTGTTGCCTCAAACTTACAGTACAATGCCTTTCTTGTTTTTAATTTGTGCTGTTGGCTATTTTAATTTTGTCTCTTTATGATTCATATCAAAATCATCATGTTAAAAAATTGCTTCATTTTAAGTTATGAGTTTTGGATAGTATGAACGAGTCTTTCTCTCTGTCTTTCAGTTGTTGAAGAGAAACATGTTCCCCATATCCCAAAGTGGACTTGGAGGAAATCAGCAAAGAGGCAGTCGAAAAAATGAGGAATGGACCACAAACTGTCTTCAGCTGGTATATTCAGCACATCGAACACTTTCAGCCATGTGTGAGAACGTGGACACAGGTTTGATTTATTATTAATTCCCTTCTTTATTTCTCTCTTTCATTTTTTTAAATATTTTTTTTTCTAAAAGTCCATGCGTTTTCAGGATAAATGGCTGGTTCAGTTGCTTTTTGTGTTTACATACTGACCAAATATGCAATCTTCCCCTAGCTTTAACACTTTGCCGTCATATTTTGGGGAAAATCCAAAGAAACTGAGTGGTAAACGTTGCCAATCGGCGAGATGAGGCGGCAAAGTGTTAACTCCAAGCAAGCCCTGCCTTAAGGGCTTCCTGGTTCCTGTTAGATTTTGTACAAGAAAATGCATGTCAGTTTTCTTTTAAACATGTGTAAGTGGTAGACACTTTTTATTATCATTGTCTCGGGCTGTTGAGTTTTGTTATTATTTCAAGCCAATGACAATATGATGGAGGAGGTTCCTAATACTTCAACTAGACCAGTGCCTGGAGACGGTGTTGTTAGTTGTTAGCGGTCATGAAAGAATAGGTTGAGTTTCTTCCCTGGAGACCTGTATTCAAGGGCAGGTAAAGAGGTCACAGGATGTAAAAGCTGTTTCGTATAGATATGGGCACTGTCTGCAGCTTGAGCGCTAGCTGTGGGTGGAGTCTTTAATGTAACATGTACATAATTGTGTAAGTCAAAATGCTCTTGTCTCTGTGATATTCAACAAATATTTGAACCAGGGGAGGACAGTGCACCAAAAGAGCCGCCTGGACTCCGATGCACTCCAGTCTCTGAGGAGCTAGCCGTGGAACAGATGGCTGCTGTGTTTATGGAACAGTGCCAGGCTTTGACCCAGATACTCAGGTAGTATATGTGTGTGTGTCATAATTGTGCGTGTATTGTTCATAATGCACTGTAGGTAGATTTTTCTCTTTTAAACGGCCGGAGACTTTCTCATTACTTTTGTGTGCCTGTCTGGTTATCATAGCTTATACAGAGTCCAGTGTTTTGTTGTGACTGGATATGTTCTTTTTGGTGGGGGAAGGGGGGGGTGTCAGTATTTTTTCTCTGGATTGTTATTGTTGTTGCTTTCTTTGTTTGATCAAAATGGTGCACAAGGGATGTTATGAATTGGTCTTGGCTTATTATATACCTTTTTTTTTTCAGGATACTGGAGTATAAGAACAACTAAAGCACAAAAATGCAAATTGCAAATAAACATTTTTCTGTTGGAACTTTTATCAACTGGGCATAAAAAATGTGGGATAGTTGCTATGGCATGGTCGTGAAGGCTTGACCTAAAGTTTTGCAATGTGTATACAGGAGGTGTATTTTTTTTTTTTTTATTTTCATGCTTGAGAAGTTCACCTTTATGATAAATTATGAAGTGATTGACCGTGATCTTAAGACTTACAATTGGATGAGTGAAAATGGCGAGCCTCATTATAAGAAGAGACCATAGTGATTGGTTGTCAAGGTTAACCACTCGTTGCTCGCATAAGTTATATGCTCATCCAGTGGTCACTTCAGTTCATTTGATTGATGATTCGAGTAACATCCCATTTGCTCAAGATCCTGCATTTTCATAGCTTCCATACACTGAGATCTCACACAGAGGCTGCAGTATTCCCATTCCCTTTCACCTCCCCTTTTTTTCTTCCCTTTGTGTATGTTGTGAGTTTCAGAATTCCTACTGTGCTCGTTTGACGGCCTAAATATTACTTTTTGCTTTTGTTGTTCTTTTTTTCCAGCATGCCTATGGAAGGTCTTGTGAGGTTGCCTCTGGGTGTAATTCTCAAACTTATCACACGCTCTCTGAATATGTCTTATAAGGATGTGGTAAGTCCCATTTTCTTAACATAGCCCTGTAGGTTTTTTTTTGACAATTTGTTAGTCATCATCTGACAAAAGAAATTATGCTTAAGATTGATAACTTTTTCTGGTTGATTGAAATGAAATGTATTTTATTAAACTATCAGCAAAGAGAAGTGCCCTGTTAATTAAATGTATTAGAAGATGTAAATGCAGTCTGCATCTCTTCACTGTAATTTTTTCACCTTTTGTCCTCCTTATGAAAGCTTGCAAGTTGGTTTTTAAAAACTTTTCAATCAAATTTTATCATAAATCTTGTGTAGCTGTTCATAATGTTACTGCTAAATCTTGTTGCTGAACAAACAGTTGTCTTCAGGGTTTTGAGAAAGAAGCGGCCCAAAAATATGATGTCAGCATTTTGTGTCTGTGTGTATTTTGAAGGATTTTTATCACTCTTTGCTGTTTGTGAGAGGGTGTGCGTTATACGGTCTTGTTTATGTTCTTAAGGTTTTTCTGTCCGTCTCTCTGTTTCTTAGCTCTATTGCTCTAAATGACTATTATTGCCTTGTGCTTGTCTATACCTCATACAAACAAACAAACATAATGTCTTGTGGGTGGTTGGCGAGGTGCGCTGGTGTGGTTTGCTTCTTCTTTCCTATCAAACATCTATCGTCCTTATCGCCCCTTCTTCTTTTTTATGTTTGTTACTCTCCTGTAACACTTCTAATCTTCTTCTGGCACTCATATGACCTTATGCAGTTGCAAGCGCCGTAAAACCTCTACTAAAAGAAAAAAACAAACATATCTCCCCTCCTTCTAAGTTATTTTCCTGTTTGTTACTCTCTTGTAAAACCTCTAATCTTCTGCACTTATGTGACCTTATTGTGTTCAAGCGCCATAAAACACTAACTAAAACAATACAAAACGTAATATCTCTACTTCCTTTTTTGAAGCCATTCTGTTAGAAATTAGAAATATATACGATTTGATCACACAGACTGCCCTGCCATCTTTGAAGGACCTTGCCAGTGTTCTTCCCTCCTTACAACAGTCGTCTATGGAAGTTCTGTGTTCCTTGATATTGTGGTACGTGGGCACTCCACAATGCCTAAGATTATACGTGACTAAATCCTCTAATCTTAGGAATTCAAAAGTAAAAGTGAATGGTATTGGGTTTTTTCCCGAAGCACGATATACTCTGAAAGGAAAAAAATAAAACATTCAAAATGTTCATCTGAGTTGGACAGTTCTGCCATAATCTGACAAAATGCCTTTTAAAAAAAATAATTTTTATGCCAAATTTATCGAAAGCCTGATCAGTTACCCAACTTGTATGAAAAAAATTAAAGCAAAACTGTGACTAGATTTTTTCAATAAATTAGAATTCAAATTTTGGAAGCTCGTTTTTTTTTTTTTTAATGGTTATGCTGACAGAAAACCTTTATCTTGAAACTTCTATGAATGTTTTGTCAGCTTATGGTAGAGTTGTGGTGTATTTCTACTGCTGTCAATAAATTGTAATTCTGTTCCTTTGTTGTTTGTAGTGTAGGAAATTATATTACTCAAAGTCACTTTGAAAGGAATTTTGAGAGTACAGTCATTGTGGAAATTGGTTGGGGGGGGGGGGGGATCAGTATCCATGATGAGTAATCAGGAAATATTTGTTTTATTAAGTGCTTACATCACTGTAAAATAAAGTATTTGATCGTGTTTTTGCTCCTTTTACAATAGTTTGAGCCATATGATGAGGGCGTACTCCGAGTTATCTGGGTTTGAAGCTGAGTTTCTCCCAATTGCCTTTTTTCCCTTCAGCTGCAACACTAACCTACTGCCGCAAAGCAGGCTTATCCTGGACCTTCTTCAACGAGTTCTGGTGTCCACAGGGCGCATGGAGAGCCATGAAAAAAGGTTTTCACTTCTGTTTTTTTATTTTTTATTAAAGTTCAAAGTAGAGTGTCTGAAGATCAGTTTTTGATGTGCACTTGAAGGTTGTCTTTTTCTTCTCCTCTTTTCTTTTCTTTTTTCTCCCTCCTCTCTGTCTGCTTATCCTCGTGGTCATCCTCATCCTCCACCTCCTTCCCTTTGACCTTTGACTGCACATTTAGACTTGTGATGAGCATTTGTTAAATGAACTAGGTTGTGTTTTTTTTATAATTTGTACTCCCAGATGGGGTTCAGGTCTGCTCCCTTATGCCAGAACCTTATTCATTATTTGATTGAGTATTTAGAGTGGGCAGGGGTTTTTGGTCAGCTAGGAAGATTGAGTAAAGAATACAGTGAAATGTTTGATTGATAGGAATGGGAACGAGACCTCAGAAACAGCTACGAATTTCCAACATCCCCAAGTATTTTTCTTCTTTGTATGGTTTTCAGTAGCCACAGTAATTGTCTTTTTGAGTGTGTTCTTTGTCAGATTACTGGGGTATATGTATTTGAAAGAATTGCTTACCCCTCGGGGCGGTGCCACTGACTGAAGTGTCTTTAGGCCATTCCCAAAGGGGGGACATTTACCATGTTCTTATGCACAGTAGAATTGTAATTGTAAATGGGACGATTCATCAATGTAGCACTCATAACAGTGCCTGAACTTCAACAGGGAACTGCTGCTTTTTCTTTCCTAATCCTTACTGTCGTCATATTTCCTCTACTTCTTTTGTATGTTTGTCACACTTGTGACCTGCTATTTCCAGGGTGCCTTGATAGTCGAAGCAAACTTTGTGCTATTGAAGCGAGAGAGGTGAGCAGAGTAAGTTTGATTCCCTGTAAGGACTTCTCTGTTGACATCCTCCCCTTGGCGCTCATATGACCTTATGCAGTTGCGTGCACCGTAACACCTCTTCTAAAACAAACAATTTAACAAACAAAGAATTGCTGTACGTTGAATGGGCCAATATGCATGAGTTATTAATTTAAATCTTATTTTATTGTGAAGCACTTAGAGCCACCAGGGAGTGGGCACTATAGAAGTGATCTTTTTTTTACTATTTCATTTTCTAAAAGATTCATTCGCTGCCCAAATTTCCCTGTAGCAATCAATGCTATTATGGGTCCATAGGCAATCAATAAAATTGGTGTTTTGTTTATTTCAATATTGTATTCAATTTTCTCCAGCACAACCCGCTCATGGGTGTACCGCGTTCTGTCTGAATGGCTGAAAATGGCGGGCATGGGTCGGCACTTCCTGTCTCATCTGAACTATTTCATTCAAGAGATTGTCTCTGATGTTCAGTTTATCGACAAACCTCACAAGGTGGGTGGTTGGCAGGTGCTCTGGTGTGGTTTGCTCCTTCTTTCCCCATGAATCATCTATTGTCCTTATATCCCCTCCTTTTTTGTATTTGTTATTCTCTTGTTATACCTCTAATCTTCGGTACTTATAATACCTTAATGTGTTGCAAGTGATGTAAGACTCCTACTAAAACTTCACAAGGTGATTCAATTTTTTTATTTTTTTTTCTTTGAACAGAGTAAGTAAAAAACTAAACTTTCCGCTCTGGAGAGTTTTCCATGTTTTGTGTAGATTTGGCAGATTGAGTTTGGTGTTTGGAGAGGCCAGCTTTGTAGATTTATTAGACTTTATTAAATACAATTCAAATAAAGACAAAAGAATAGAGTACAAAAATATCAAATGAGAGTTATCATTGGGTTTGGTTTTTTTTACATTAAAACCGTTTCACAAAGGAAACAGGAAGTAATGACATTAACATTTTGTCATCTTTAGATGCCAAACATGATTCTCTACTCTCTTTTCCATTCCTCCCCCCCCCCCCCCATTTCCCACATGTAACATACACCCATACATCGATCAAGTGAATTGGGGATTTACACAACCAGAAGCAGCTGTGCATTCTTGTATATTATATAGTATTTACAAAACATGGTTTCCCCTTTTCTGTCCTTCGCTTTTGTTTTTCTCCCTTTTACCTTCAGAATGTCCCATATGGCGTTTAGTAAAATGTTAATTCATACAGAAACATTCTCATTTCAACCACTAGGAGGCAAATGGCATTGGCACAGCAGAGGCCACTGCTGTAGACGATGCCGTCAGCTCAAGAGCAACGGGGAAGGGGAAAAAGAAGAAAAAGAACCGTACAGCCGACTCTTACAAAGACCTATCAGTGATGAATAATCTTAACAGTGGAGTGGATCCAGGACTGTGCAAGCCTTACGTTGCAGAGGCTACGTTTTGTGGTTTGGAATGTGCGTTTATTTCTTGTGTTTCCTTCTTGCCCGTCTTCAGCCCCTTTTCCCCCAGCATCTGAGCATGTCGTCTGTTGATGGTAACTTGTTGTTTCTGGTGGACATTGATTGAATTCTCTGTTTTGGTCTGCTCTTGTCGGTGTCTCGGTTGTCTTATCTCGTTCCTTGTGTAAATTCTGGCCTTTAATGGTGCCTTAACTCACCATAGGCCATAAGCCTTAAAGTTCCTCATTGTAGACTATAGCTTCGAAATGTTTTGTTGGGGTTTTTTTTAATACTGAATTGAAAAGGACAGTTGAACCTGCTGTCTGTTAACAACCGCCTATCCAAGACAATTACCTGTAAGGACAACTACTGCCCACTTCCTCCTAGCATTTGTGGGTGGTTGGCGGGTGCTCTGGTGTTGTTTGCTTCTTCTTTCCTATCAAACATCTATCGTCCTTATCTCCCCTTCTTATTTTTTATGTTTGTTACTCTCTTGTAACACCTCTAATCTTCTGGCACTCATATGACGTTAGGCAGTTGCTAGCGCCGTAAAACCTCTACTAAAACTAACTAGCATTTTTTTGTATATTACAATGACATTGTCCAGGAAGACCACCTGTCTAAGGTGACCACTTTTCTCCTAGGCAAGGGATGGTTTTGTCTTGGACAGGTTTGACTGTGTAAATTTTTCTTTTGTGACTGCCACCCTTCTGTGGGTGGTTGGAGGGTGCTCTGGTTTGGTCTGCTCCTTCTTTCCTATCAAAATATTTATCGTCCTTGTCTCTCCTCCGTCTCTTTTGTGTTTGTTACTCTCTTGTAGCATCTCTAAACTTTGGCACTTACAAGATCTTATTGTGTTGCAAGTGCTGTAAAACACTTATTAAAACAATCCACCCTTTTCTCGGGCGACCGCATTTTATTATTTGTGAGTGGCTCTGAATGGTTTAAACTGTTTTGGCCATACCAAAATGATCTGTAATCTTGCTGAAGTTTGATGGAGTTTCATTTCGTTCATGTTCATTTCATGTTAACATCAAATGAGTTTTATGTACCACCATTTTCTGACAGATTCTTATGAGATGGTAGTGGTCGTGGTAGTTTACTTAAATAAATTGGCTCGTCAAGGGGGTGGGGGGGATTAAAGAGAACAAAAATGTGATATAAATTTATTTGTCCTTTTCGAAAATTGTCTTCTCCGGACAAGGAGAAGTAAGTCAAAGTCATACTGACTATGGGAAGACAAAAGTCTGCGACTCGCACGAATTGATGCACTGTACTGGTGGTCATCATTCTGTGTTGTTTCTCCTCAAACATAGTGGCCACTTCTCAGCGGAAATCCTCACTGGCCTTTTCTCCAAGGTATAACAAAATCCTTTTCTCATTTTCACACCTGAACCTTATATTTAAAGAGAATTTATTGTGAGATGGGTCTTTTCCAATTCACAGTGTCAAAGGTCATCCTTGAAAGAGGGCAGTTTATATTGCTGCAGGTAAGGTTTCGAACATCCCATTGTATATGTTCTAAGAGCTATTGTCCCTTGAAAAAAAAAAAAGGACAGATTTTAATGTGTGACTCAGTTCACACACATGTTTTGTCGATCGAAATGTGCAATACAATCCTTAGGTAAATGTGAATTATTTCTGCACTGTTTTGATACATTTTGGGAAACGTCTCAGCATCAATGTTTCCATGACTTCCTCAAAGACTGCTTTCATATTTTAGAGAATTTCATGGGCATGTCTATTTTTATTTAATAAAGGTGTCTTCACTGAAAGCTGTGATATTTTTTTCTTAGGATTAGCAGGTAGTAAATTTAGAAATTCACGATTGAAGTTTTCTATCCCATATTATTGAAACCAATTTTTTTTTTTTTATGTGAGAATTACAGTCTGATATTAATGCAGTACTTCCAGTATATCATCTCTTATAAGACGCATGCATGGATAAGACAGTTTAATTTGAGAACCAAAATTTTGGCATTAATTATATGTCCATCAGATAAGATGCACCAACTTTTTCATGGCAAGCACCATCATTTTCTTAAATATATTTGTTCATTATTAACCCCACTTCAAAACAAGAAGATCCATTTTTTTTATTATTCTTGTTTTTCGTCACGACGTGAATTTACATATTTTTCATAGTACCTGACCCTAACAATTTGTTCCCTTGGTCAGCCCCCCCCCCCTCTCCCGTCTGGGTTTTTTTGGTCTAATTTCATATCTCATGGATTAGACTCAGGGACTAGTTTTTAAGTCAGTGTGAGTCTTTTTTTGCTCCCCTCTCTTATCTAAGCTAAGAAAGTGTTTTTGCTTGTTCTGGTATCTGTCATAGCTGTTGACTGGCCTCCGCTGAGTTTTCCCATGCTACCATTTTTTGGTCCCGATTTTTAATCTGTGCAATATTTTTCTTCTTTCAGAAACTTGTTAGGCACATTCTGGAGACCACATCTACCCTTCAGCGCACAGATGCCTCGTCCCATTCAGCATACAGCCAACTTGCATGCAGGCTCGGGCTCTATCATGTGGTCTGGGTCTGTTCTCAGGTTCCCCTGGACAATGGTGTGGGCACTGCAGACACAGTCGCTCATTTCCAGCAGACCAACCAAGCTCTGTCATTGATTTCCCGTGCCAGCCATGCAGGGAGTTTTGTGGAGGTGTGTGTAGCCTTGCTCTTCGTAGAGTTGTTGGTCGTTTATTTTTAATAACCAAAATACCAGGCTTGCCAACTGTCCCAAATTTCCTTAGACAGTCCTGGATTAGGCAATCGGGAATTCAAGGAGATATACACTACACCAAAACACGTCCCAGTTGATGTAATTTTGTTTGTTG